TTTCTCTCTTGCCAATCTTAGTATCTTGTCTTTGTCTGTGATTTGGTGAATCTGGCTATAATGTGTCCTGGAGAAGATTTTCTTGGGTTGATTCTATTGGGAGTCCTTTGTATTTCTTGGGATTGAATCTTTGAATGCCTCCCTAGGCTTGGAAAGTTTTCTTCCAGGATTTCATGGACTAGATTATCAATGCCCTTATGAGTCTCTTTGCCTTCTGGGATATCAGTTATCTGGATGTTTGGATGCTTGATGGTATCTAGTATTTTTCATATATTATTCTCATTTTGGAGGGCAATTTTCTCAGTCTTTGTGGTAGATTTTTCTAGGACAGCAATTCTATCTTCTACATCTGTAATTTGATTTTCTGTATGATCTAGTCTGCTTTCAATACTTTTAAAGGATATTTTGACTTCCTGTAGTATAGCCTTCATCTCTAACAGGTCCATTTGATTCTTTTTTAAAGTATGTAATTCCTCTTTCAGATCTTGCAAGAATGTCCTCACCTCCTGGAACTCATCAGCTCCTTTCTCCTGCCTCTTCTGCAGTTCATTGTCTCCCTTTTCTTCCACCTCTGTTAGCTTTGTCACTATGAATATTCTAAATTCTTTATCTGACATTTTCGTGAGTTTCATCATACTGTCTGAGGGTGAAGAAGAGTTATTCTTTTCCCTTGAAGGAAAGGTATTTTCTTGCTTTTCCATATTTCTTGTGACCCTGAGGTGATTTCTGGTCATCTGATGGATGTTACATTTCTTCCTAATTCTTGAAGTTCAATCTGAGTGTTCAGAGGCGTGCAGGAGGAGATGATGTGCAATCTCTCTTCTGCTGTGTATTTCACTCTTTGTGCCTCAGATTTAGTAGGTATTGAGGAATATTCTGATCCTAATTGTATTCAGATGTTTGGATCCTGTTCACTTGGACCTGTCTGGACACTCAGTGTGTGGAGACCACTGGAAATGAATCTGGAGGGAGAAATCTCTGCAGAAAATCTTCATTTTTAGTCAATGAAAGCAATATTTCACAGCTTAAGTTCAGTAGCCATCTCCAAGTATAACCTTTTCTTTATGCTGTAATCCCAGCTCAGCTCACATCCCATCACTGCATCTTCCCTATATCACAGACACTGACATTCTAACGATTCCTCAGAGCCACTGGACTCATCACCACCAACATCGCCCCCATTCTCAGGCCTCGGCATCTGCTGCCCCCCAGACCTGCCCATGCCAAGCTCTTCTCGTCATTTCATTCTTGGTTCAGTGCCACTGCAGAGAGGCCTTTCCTAAGCCCCCCCAGACCTGCCCATGCCAAGCTCTTCTCATCATTTTATTCTTGGTTCAGTGCCACTGCAGAAAGGCCTTTCCTAAGCACTCGACTTCCCAGCCACTCTCTTTTCTAAGGACAAATTTTACTTTCTTCATAACACTCACCTCATTGAGATTGAAATTACTTCTTCTGGGCCAGTAGGTGGCGTGGTGGTCAAGGCACTGGATCCCACATGGCAGACTCCACTCTGGGTTTGAGTCCCATGCCCAGCAACCTAAAAATCACACCGGGCACACATGTATGCATGCCCAAATCCTGAAAGAAGAATGTGGTGTGACCATCCCAGGGGAATGATTTCTCACTTTTCCTCTCTCTGTCTGTCTCCAGTGAGTGCACACACCCTATTGGGGAAAAGAAAAAAAAAAAACCTAAACTAAAAGAAAATAAAGAAGAAATTACTTCATCCACTTGTTTTTGCTATTGCTGTTTTTTCTTTTTTTGAGAGAGAGTTTTGCTATAGGGCGTGTGCACTCATCAGCGAGACAGACATAAAGTAAGAAATATAGGGCGTGTGCACTCATCAGCGAGACAGACTTAAAGTAAGAAATCCCCCGAAGGGGATGGCCACACCGCAATCCCTTCTCCTCCATTGTCCTCTCAGGATCTTCAGTACACACACATGCGCGTCTAGTGTGAGGTTTCAGCACACACACATGAGTGTCTGGTGTGAGGGTCAAGTTGCTGGATCCAGGACTCGAACTACAGCCAACTATGTGTGAGTCCAGTAACATAACCATTTTGCCATCTGCTAGTCCTGCTGTTTTTCTCTTTAGAGAGATTTTTTTTTTCCTTTAGGACATATGCATTCACTGGACACACAGAGAAGGAGAAAGTGAGAAATTATCCCTGGGGGAGTGGCCATACTGTAATCCCTTCTCCTCATTGTCTTCTCAGGATTTGGGGCACTCACCCCATGCGCCCGGCATGAGTTTCAAGTTGTTGAGTCTGGGACTCAAAACGTGGTTGGCCACGTGGGAGTCCAGTGCCTTAACCACTATGCCACCTGCTGGCCCTGTCCACTTGTTTAATCCATCAGGTAACCTTCCCTACAGGGGGAGTGCTGTGGGCCCCCCTGTGCACTGTCAGTACCTCTGCTGCAGCCCCCTTTCACTGAATTTCCACAGTGCTTTTCCACGCTGATCCCATGAGACTGCACTCCTGTTCCTCTCAGTATCCCCAGGAGGTCTGGTTCTAAATAAGCAGGCGCTCTGCAGCCTCCTGGATAAACAGGCAGGAAGGCATCCTTTGAGCTGCGCTGTGGTGGAGAGGTGGAATTTTTATAAGCAGAGTCTGATGAGAAGCAGAAGGACTAGCTCCTATGTTAAGGCTGTGTTCAGGAGTGACGGCCCTTGTGTTGCCATCTTCCTGCCTCAACCCCCAGAGTCTCTGGGACTGTGGGAGCACACCACCACCCCCGGCCATTAGGGTGTGCCAGGAACCCCGGGCTTGCCGAGAGGCCTCAGCATGTGCCACCACAGCCTGGGACATTTATGCCAAGAACATTTCAGACCATGTGGCTCGGATTCTTCCACACGTATGTGGGCGTGTCTTGCTCACAAGAAGCTACACAGTGAAATGCCTGGGTGTTAGATTCGGGGCTGATCCTATCCCCTCTGGCATCTGGCCTTTCAGGAGCTCAGACTCCCAGAGCTCTGAGGCCCCCCAGGAAAGAGCTCTGATGTTCTAACACCTCACTTCTTCACAGTCTCAGTGAACCACTGCCACAGACCCAGTATTTCTGCTAAGCGCACTAGGGTTCTGGAAATTCGCTCACTGAATTACTGTCACCTACTCACAACTGTCACCCCCAGCTTTAGAGGAAAGGGCTGGAGACAGAAAGCTATGTCTGCAGGTGAGGCTGCTCCCCTTAATTTTGTTTACTTATATATTTGCTAAACATGTATTTATTTATTTATTGCTAGAGGATGTATGCACTCACAAGAGAGAGATGGAGACTGGAAGAAAGCACCTCCCAATGGGGTGTGATTATGCTGCAATCCCTTCTCCTCTGTTTCTCCAGCCTGTCAGGATTTGGGGCATGCATATGCAAACCTGCCCAGTGTGTTTTTCAAGCCATCAGGTCTGGGAATCAAACCATGGTTATTTACATGGGGTCTAGTGTCCTTAACCATTATGCTATGGGGCCAGCCCCAGAGATTGCTCCCCTTCCTTCACAGAACCTGGCTTTGCCAGAATTTTAGGGCTGGTCTGAGCTCATCATAACAATATACCATTCTAAGGGCTTCTTGCATTAGTAATTTAATGCTCATCCCAATGCTATGAACTTGAGACAGTTATTATTTCATTTTACAAATAAGAAGACAGATTTAGAGAGTTAGGTAA